CTCAGGGGTGGTGGTAAGCCGAGGACTCACCCATAAGCCGCTAAGCAAAGGCAGAGGGTTGGCTTAGATCAGTGGTTCTCAATCTGTGGGTCGCGACCCCATTTGGGGTCGATTGACCATTTCATGGGGGTCGCCAAGCAAGGCTGTCCGCCATTTTTTTCCCCTTTTCCGGCGGATGCGTTACCTCCCTTGGGCTGGGCCAGCTGGTGGTCGGCCTGCTCCGTCTCTGCCCCTTGCCAGCTACGCCTCGGCCGGCGCAGGGGGCGGAACCACGCATGCGCGGCGCTCCCGGGCAGGGAAAGTCCTCGACTTACGACCGGTTGGGTAGTCCTCGACTTACGACCGGTTTAGTCCTCGACTTACAACCGGTTTAGTCCTCGACTTACGACCGGTTGGGGTCGCGGCATTAAAAAGGTTGAGAACCACTGGTCTAGATGACCTCTGAGGTCCCTTCCGATGCTCACTTTCGTGCCTTTTTTGCCCTCTTTCCCACCGCCGTGATGTTCCCCTTCGTGACAGCCGTGGTGACCCTGATCGAAGAAGACAACGAGGGCCGTCCGGAGACCGCCCCGCCGCTGGACGTCTGCCCGTGCCCCGTGAGGGCCCGCCCGTCCTACAACAACCTCTACACCACCTGCCTGGAGCTCTTCAAGTTCACCATCGGGATGGGCGACCTGGAGTTCACCGAGAACTACCACTTCAAGTCCATCTTCATCATCCTCTTGCTGATCTACGTGGTCCTCACCTACATCCTTCTGCTGAACATGCTGATCGCCCTGATGGGCGAAACCGTCAACAAGATCGCGCAGGAGAGCAAAAGTATCTGGAAGCTGCAGGTGGGTTGCAGCCACACACACCCCAATCCCACCCCAGGGTTTGGTTCCGGGGTTTCGGGGCGCAAGTGTGGGTCCGTTTTCAGGGAGAAGGAGGGAGGCTGAAGGGTGTTGTGTCTTGCTTTGGACATAGTCAGGCATATGAAAGCCAGTTGGGTGACTCTGGGCCAATCACCAGGAGACGGTGAGTTCTAGTCTTACCTTAAGCACAAAAGCAGCTGGGTGACTTTGGGCCAATCACCAGGAGACGGTGAGTTCTAGTCCCGCCTTAGGCATGAAAGCCAGCTGGGTGACTTTGGGCCAATCACCAGGAGACGGTGAGTTCTAGTCCCGCCTTAGGCATGAAAGCCGGCTGTGTGACTTTGGGCCAATCACCGGGAGAAGGTGAGTTCTAGTCCCGCCTTAGGCATGAAAGCCACCTGGGAGACTTTGGGCCAATCACCAGGAGAAGGTGAGTTCTAGTCCCGCCTTAGGCATGAAAGCCAGGTGGGTGACTTTGGGCCAATCACCGGGAGACTGTGAGTTCTAGTCTTACCTTAAGCACAAGAACAGCTGGATGACTTTGGGCCAATAATCAGGAGACGGTGAATTCACTGGGGATTTCCAGAAAGGATAGGACATTTATTTATTTATGTATTTTTATGTGCTTATCTTCTGCCTTTATTATTTTTATAAATATGGTAACTCAAGTCGGCAATCATAACTAATTCTCTGCCTTCCCCCTATTTTCCCACAACAACCCTGAGAGGTGGGTCGAGTTGAGGGAGAGTGAGTGATTGGCTCAAAATCACCTGGACAGCTTTCATGCCTAAGGCGGGACTAGAACTCACCGTCTCCTGGTGATTGGCCCAAAGTCACCCAACCGGCTTTCATGCCTAAGGCGGGACTAGAACTCACTCTCTCCGGGTGATTGGGCCAAAGTCACCCAGCTGCTTTTGTGCTTAAGGTGGGACTAGAACTCACCATCTCCTGGTGATTGGGCCAAAATTACCTGGCTGGCTTTCCTGCCTAAGGCAGGACTAGAACTCGCCGTCTCCTGGTGATTGGCCCAAAGTCACCTCGCCCCTGATGTATATCAGAATCTTTATTATTAAATCAAAAATCATCAGTCAGGAAATACAGCGGCGCCTGTCTAAATTGCATCTGAATCCAGGGTCAGCCCCTTTTGCATCCACTTTTAGGATACGTTACGCGAATCACCGCAGTTGTTAACTGAGTCATATGGTGGTTAGCTAAATCCAGCTTCCCCATGGACTTCGTTTGTCAAAAGACAGCAGGGAAGGTTGTAAATGGTGATCACATGACCCCGGGACAAACGTAAATATAGGCTGGTTGCCAAATTTTGATCCTAGGATTGCGGGAATCCTGCAACGGTCATATAGTACCGTTGCAGCTTCGAACGTTCACTCAATGAATGCTTATAAGTCGAGGACTACCTGTATAATTATATAATTAGAGTAGTTAAACCTGCATGACTTTGGTTTCCAGATTGGGTCTACCTCAGTGGTGGGATTTAGCCGGTTCGCACCACTTCGGCAGAACCGGTAGCTAATTTTTTGTTGCCCAGGCCCAGAATGGACTTCCGGAAGCGGCATCCAAACAGAGAACCGGTTGTTCTCCTATTTGAATCCCACCACTTATCATATCTATCTATCTATCTATCTATC